GTTGTAATTTCTAACGATTGCTAAACAACTGATTGTAAGTGGAGGACTACCTATAGTGGGTTTTTTTTTTAACCGCAGATCCCCTGATCAAGAGGCAAAACTCTAGGGCAGTTTTTCTCACCTTTGGCCACTTGAAGGTGGGGTCACTTTCACCTTCATGCTGGTTGGGGGTTCTGAGAGCTGAAGTTCACCCATCTTCAAGTTGTCAAGGTTAAAAAAAAGTGCCACTTCTCTAGGGATAAAAAATTGTTTGCCTTTGAATGAACTTTTTCTGGGTGGGGGTGGATTTGTTTTGCCCTTATTCTCTCACATCCAGTTTGTTTTCAGTTTTGCCGAAAACCAGTTTGAAAAACCCTGGGGTAGAAAATCATTGTGAAGAAAGGATCTTGGTCAGCATTTCATGATCAACAGCTCTGGTCAGCCTTCCCGGATTGCCTCCGGAAGGATCATTATGGCTTTGTTTGTGATGCAAACTTAGGGGTATTATTTTTGTTATGACGATTAATATGGCCACATTCCATGATCTTTTCTTCACAAACAAAATTTGATATTCTTATAACAAGCTAAGGCTAGCTTTTATCTCCTGTTTTGTAGCAAGACTTTGTAGCAAACTCCTATTTGTGAGAAAAACGAAGTGTAGAGTTAAGGCAATGAACGATTTAGGACTAACAAAATGTTGCAAAAGAGCATAACCTCGTGCCATCTTTCATTACTCTTGATGGTGAACTATGGAAAAATTGGCCAAACATACTGTGGGTGTTAGGAAATCCCCCTTTGTTGATTTTCTTTAGGATGCTGTTGTTAAAACCACCAGACATCCCACAGCTCATTCTCTGAACAGCTTCCACTTTTCTGTTCCTCCTGTTCCTCCTCCTCCTCCTCCTCCTCCTCCTCCTCCTCCTCCTCCTCCTCCTCCTCCCAGAAATGAAAGGGCCGGATCTCTTAGCTATATACATTTGCAACATTCATTGTCATGCCCCAAAAGGGGATAGTTTCACACCCACCAGGGGGTTTATTCAACTCCTGTGTGTGCATGCATGCTCTTGTGTATGTATGTGCGCACATATATGCACGCTTTCTTGTTCTTCAGATATCTAACCCCAAGAAACTGGCACACTAGCTTGCATGCTGATCAAAGCCACAGTTCTACCTTTATCTAACCTAAGCTTATCACGAATACCAAATTAATAAATGAAGGATCCAGTGTTGAATCATCATAACACTAAGGCAGGATTTGCACATTCATTTCCATGCTAAAGCCGAATCAACCACATTGTGGTTCAGCCGAATGAGGAAACACAATCCCAATTGGTACCCCTAAAGTCCTTTGCCTCATCTCAAAGGAGGGATACCTAATGCCAGGTAAAGAAAAAGGAGTGTCACGTATGCTCAAAAGCATTTGGGTCACCAAGTGTTTTAACCTGCAATATAGCTCTTAGATCCCTTATTTGTTCCTCACAGAAACGGATTTGGGCTCCCAGCCCCCAACCGCCTTATTCACTTCCTTGTTGTCCCAGAAACTCAGGAATGTAGATCTCCAGTGGTCTCCAAATTAACTCTTCTTTGTGTTCCTAAGCACACTTGAAGAATGAAGCCCCTTTGCAGTTCAAAAGAGCAAACTGGTGGGGACACATCTTTAGGACTGCTCTCTTATTTTCAAGCTCTGCAGCCTCAAATGAAGGTTTTACCTGCTTTAATGCTTTTTAAAAGGGGAGGGGGGTTGCTTCCAGCAACATAAAGGAAAAAAATCCCATGTTTGGAGGTAGCGAACCTCTAAGCGCTAGTTTTCTAGCAACCGCTGAGCCTTCCGGACGGCCTTGGATGTTGCGTCAGATGGGTTTTTTGTCTGGTTTTGCAGAGGTTATTTTTATAAAAGAGGAGTGGGAAGGAGACTTCTTTTATTCCAGAGGTTGCATTCCTTTGTGCAAACCCACGGATAATGGCATACCAATGGGAGGGAGGAGTTACTGACACTCACATTCACTTACACCTTCATACTTCAACATACACACACACACACACACACACACACACACACACTCAAGACCTGCACAAGACATTTTGCTGCCTGAAGCACAAACAAAGCAACCACCCACCCATCCAGCTCAGGCATAAAGGTTGATACCAACAGTCAAATTTCACTTGGACATAACAAGCAGGATGCCCATGGGAAATCAGGCGGCTACCTTAGGGGGCAATTTAATAGGCACATGACATTCTACCTTGCTTTGTTCCCCAATTTCTTATTCCTGATCCCTGGACCCTGTTACAGGTAGACTTCGACTTACAACAATTCGTTTAGTGCAGTGTTTCTCAACCTTGGCGACTTTAAGTCCTGTGGACTTCAACTCCCACAGCTGGCTGGGGAATTCTGGGAGTTGAAGTCCACAGGACTTAAAGTCGCCAAGGTTGAGAAACACTGCTTTACAGTGAGGTTCCTTCTGGCTGCCATCTGTATGGTTTGTCTAGAAGTTGTGTTACCTTCACATTTATTTTATAAAGCCTCTAAGTTCCTAAGGAAAAAAAATGGGCAACCATTTTTTTAGCTGATATGAGGATTCCTGCCTTTAGCAGGCTTGGATTAGAAGACCTCCAAGGTCCCTTCCGTTCCAGATTTTGGAATCTATCAGGAGTTGAAGGTGGCCATATCTCAAGGACCAGATCAAACCAGGTTGCCCCAGTTGATCTCCAGAACTTCAGAGCTCTGATTGTCTTCCTCACTTGTTCATGTAGCTACTTGGGTGGGAAGCAGTGGAAGAAATCTTCTCCTCCCCAGATCTAATATCTGGCACTGGCCTTTTCTGTAGAAACATCTCAATGTTCAGAGAAGCCCAACAGATTTTAAGGAACCTTAATATTTCTCTTGCACTGGATTTTATTCCAGTAGCAAATCTGAGGATGGAATCTATCTGATCTCAACTGCCAACACTCACCCATACCTTGCAGAAGGAGGAGCAGCAGCAGCTGAAAAGGACCACCGATTCTCTTGAAGGACCTCAAGGCAGCCATGCTGACAGCAGCAGGAGAAACATCTGAAGTGACTTTGTGTCTGGCCCCACAGGTGTTTTCTTCCACGGAAAAACCAAAAGAGGAACTCCGATTTCCTTTTCATAAAGTTG